TTGAAATTTGAAAACGCAGCTTTATTTCTGCGGTTAGGCTCACTGTCCACACGAATCCGTCACGAAAACGGAGCTTTTCGAAAACGCTCTTCAAACCAGAGGAATTTGTAAACGCCGGGTTTGCGCTTTAGTGTAGATGGAATACGTTTTGAAAACTGAGCTTTTCGAAAAAGATGATATCACGATAAGCAGGTGATTTCCTGCCCGCGTTTTCCTGAAACACAAATCCAAATATAACCTGTTATTCTCGCGTTTTCAAATTCCTGCGGCAGTAGTGTGGACGGAAAACATTTGATGTGTTTTCAGAGTGAAACCTCCATTTTCAAATTCTACTGGCGTAGTGTGGAGGGAGCCTGAGTTTCACTAAGAACGCACGCGGTACGGTAGGAGAGTATGAGCAAGGCGACTGGCTTCCTGCTTGTCTAGGAGTTGACAGGTCTAGGTAAAGTCTGAATAAACTATGCGAATCTCCAACTAAACTGAAGAAATGCTAGTGGAGAGTGAGATCCGTGGTCTGAATAATTCTTCTAACTTCGCGTCGATATTTAAAATAAAGCATTTTGTCATTTCTAGTCAGCGGTCTTCAATCATAAACAGACAGCTCAATGCAACTTTCTTTTCCATGTGAATAAAAGTACTTTAAAAGATCCAAATAGATTTATTGTACGCAGTTATTTTTCATACATGTACCTATGTAGAAAGTTAATGAGAATTTTTGATGGTAGATGTAACTAAATGATATCCCGCATTCATTATTAAAATTTTTGGTTTACTGATGAAGGAACATGATTTAAATTATCAACACACTTTACACACTTTTATATACACGCTTTATTTTAAGTTGTTTTAATTAAAAAATTTAGTACAAATGTGAACTGATATTGGGCTAATCTAGGCGGATCAGTAATTCTAGAAAAGACATCCATCACATCTTTCTAGGCCCTCTGGATAGAGATACGTTTCACGGGAAAGAAAAACCTTTTACATGCCATCATACATCGGCAGTCTGATACTGAAGCTTACACTGAAACTTCAATCACGGCCACAGGTTTCTCAGTCCAGGAGTGTAGAGTGTTTCCCTCGTTAAATGAAGTTACTATTATTATTATATCATTATAGTACTACGGGGCCACAATATTGACCAATATTTGTTGCGTTGAACTGTGTATCAGGAGTCCCAGCTTCGATCCCGACCAAGGACACTGTGTCATGTTTTGTTCGGGCGAGTGGTTTTAAATTTTCTCTGCATAGAAGGAAATAACAGGAGAATTCGCTAAAATGCTGCGTGCTAGACTGTGATGGTTTAGGACCACATCAAGAGCTAGTGACAATGTGTAAATAGAGAACCCAATAAGTTTTTTCTAAAGCTAAATACTCTTTGACACTTACATGAGGTCGTTCGTCATTCATTCATGATTCATTCATTCATTACTAAAGTTCAGTAAGTGTCAACTTCTCGAGTGACCTTGTTGCGTACGGGACGTCACCTTAAAACAAATCTAGCAATCAATAGGTGTCAGTGAACGCAACAAGTTTTTAAACCTTGGATCGAGTTTTGGATCCAAAGATGACATTTGACTCCTCTGCGCTGGTTCAGCAGCCTTTGATGTAGTACTGGAACATGTGTTAGCTTGATTGGGTCTTCCTTTCGCAAGAATCCAGTCGGCGCCTCTGTTGGTGATGGCATCAGCTACTCTATTTGACGGTTCGTTCAGTTTGTATTTGTTTACTATCTTGTTCATCCAAATAGAATTCTGAAACTTCTTTCCTTTCATGGTAAAGTGATGAAGCTTTTCCCAGCTCGACGCGTTTCTCGTCAGGTTTTTTCCCAACTGGTTTTCAGTGATGGGCCTCATTTTCTCTAAATAGTGTAAATATGTTATTGACCGTTGCCTGCATTTCTTCCAGCCAGTCAGGATCCTTTCTTCAGTACCATCCTCTTTAAGTTTAGCACGACCTTTAACCTTTTCCAATCGCTCTTCTCTCTCTTGCATTTCTTTAGCAAGGCCTTCGCTCTGCTCACTTATTTCAGTGTCTGCTAGATGTTTGACTTTTTGCACAAACCTCATTACCTTGACAAGATTTCTTACAACTTTTTTGAACGATTTTGGCCGCTGTCGTTTTGGCCAAATTGGCGAAACGTGCACAACTGGTTTGAAAGGTGATAACTCTGCCATACTGTGGACTTGCTGGACGGTCAGGTTGTATAATGATATTAAAACCTTACTCTCAATCTTCAGCTTATCACGAAAAACCTTTTATTGACCTGATGTACGTGTACAGGAATGACGTACATAGTTAAGCTTAATCCCCATCATTACATGATTTGAGTGTTTTGATAATCCTCCTTCTATACCATATTTTCTTCTATTGTGAATAGTACACGTTTTAATCCTCGCTTAATTGGATAAACGTTTGTGATGGCGCTAGTGGAGCATGGAAAGTTAATTTTTCTTGAAGCGTAATAAGATAATTACTGATCTGAACAAACGAGCGACTAATTTTTAATTTATTTCATGTAAATCGCAACTGTGGACATGACGTGAGTCAGGTCTCATGTTTTATTGGAATTTCTTTCGTTTGTTTGATTTTTTTAAAAAAGAATATTAATGTTAGGTTTGCTTTCAACAAATAGAGTCACTGAAACGAACTGCCCCATTGCAATAAAATAAAATATCTCATAATCCCTCTCCCTAACTTATAAGGCGCCTGCAGATAATTAACAATTATTGGACGAGGTTGAACAAAATATCGTGATTTGTCAGTAGCAAGCAGATCGATTGATCTGCGAGGCATTGACAAATCATGATATTTTGCGATTTAACGAGTGCAACATTCGATCACCAAGTTTGTTTTCGTATTTACACCACTCTCCTGAAAGCTCTCTGAAAGCTCTTTTTTTGTGTGTGTGTACTTACGGGGCGAAACGAGATCGATGGAAGCTGGCGCCGAGAATTTAGCCTGCGATTTTCCATGCGGCAATCTACTCTGAAGTAAGTTCGTTTCGAATTTCTTCCAAACTTTCTCTATTTATTATATCAAAGCACTTATTAATAAAACTGCCAAGTTATATCGTGACAGAACATTTCAAACTTTTTCGCAGTAGCCCCAGTAACCACGGATAAACTTAGCAACGATTTGTTTCTTTCTCGTGGATTTGCTTAAAAGTTAATTGTGAAGGCTGATCCGTGAAGCATTTTTCTCATTGTATTTTGGCTCCATGGTTTCCAGCCACTTCTCATGCAAACTCTTCCCGTTTAATCTGTTCTGTAAAATGCTGCCCTTATCTGTAAATCTTCTTTTCAGACTTGCATCTCCGCTGCTGAATTCTGTTTCGTTTTTGTTTCCCAAGGGTACAAGTGAGGTCATTAATCGTTCGAAACGAGGATCATTAACTGGGTGCTTAATGTCTTTATGGGCTCTGTATAATTGTGGAAAATAAATCGCATCATTTTGCTCTGCAAAAACAACGTCGACTTCTTTACTTCGTCTTGTTGTCCGTGCTTTACTATTTCTCCTGTATCGCGCGTTCGTAAGTTTTATGTCCTCAATTTTTGAAGTGTCTTGATATTTCTCGTTGGTCAATTGGAAGTCTTTCGTGAACGCTTGAACTGTTGAGTTGTTTGCGGTCAGACTTGTTCTGGGCATCTTTTGCCATCCACAGCCGTACTCAATCTCTTGTACTCTTCCCCAAGCAGTTTTCTTACTTTCCTCCCTGCGGTAAGCTTCCATTTGAATCTCGTAAATGCGCTGATGTTTTTGCCTTTGCTTTTCACGGAAGTTTCTAGTTAGGGTCACAATGCTGCCTTTATCGTCCACCTTCTCTGCCACTTCCGAGGCGAAATCCGCTTTAAAAGACGGATCGATACTTTGAAGAAATTTTAAAAGGATCATTTTATTTCGGACGAGCCGCCGGAAAGTTGTTCTTCGCGCTTTTACATTTTCCATCCTTTTCTCAGGAGGCCAAATCGGTGTAATATGCACAATCAGAGGAAAAATGACCTCTTCTGTCTTGTTTAGATGCATGGCAATTATTTCGCTACTTGATTGCACCGCCATCTTTCTTAATACACTTTTCTCTCCGCGGGGGAAAGATTAATAAAATTTCGTCCAGAAGCTATTGTTGAAAATCTACTCGGGAACAATGGTGCCATTAGAAAGACAGTAATTTAGCAAAGGCTGGCTTGTCAATATACAGTTAGACTGTTTGGCGACCAATAATTTTTTTACTAAGAGCACACGGGTTTTTGATGGTGTTGTATTCTGTTTTGCTCGCTGATGGTAATCAGTTTTCATTATCGTAGAATCAATAACACTAAGGAACAATCCCTTGCGATTGGCGGAAAACAAACTTAAGGACATCATTCACTTATCAGGGGCCGCGAAAACAAATAAAACTTTAATAATATTTTCTTGGTAGACACATTATTTCAAAACTGTTATTTGCACGTCTAACAATTAATTACAATAACATCCAGACAAAATTCAATAACTTTGTAGTGCGAATAAATTTTGTAACAAAATTGGTGTTGTGACGAACCATACTGAAATACAAAATATGAAAAGAAATATTACAAGTTTATTTAATAACCTCTTAATTTGACCACAGGTTTATTTCAGGGTTTTTTCAGGGTTATTGCTTTTAATGTGATGGCAGTGACAACGTTTTTAATTATTTATATACGATCAAGTTCCGTTCATTTGCTCCCTCTGTCCTGGTTCGCCACGGTGTCGCTCTGTTACCTGCAATTTCCCTTAAAACTTAATTCAGACTGATGCTTTAAAATTACCGAAAATTGCGGCGGTAAAGGAGCACAATGGAATGATTTGCAGGTGGCAAGCTACGATGATTGCAAGAAAATAAACTCTTGGGAAATAATTAAAAACTGCAATTCAAGACATAAAAGAAACAGAATTTTAACAAATATATAGTTTTTGCACAAGTTCTCATGCATTCTACATTAGACGGTAAATGCACGATTAGCAAAATGACCTGAAATGCACTTTGCTCAAGAATAGTTTACAAGCATTCAACTCAAATTGACGAAACAACGGTATATTTCAAATAAATGAAATATCATTTACTTGAAATCTCTGTTCTATATAGCGAACAAACTACGAGACGTTTCATATATAGCGTCTGCCCCTTGTTCTGAAAGAAAATTCCATGTAGTTTTCAGACGTATGCAGACGAAGTCCATAGTATCAAGGTGAAATACACTGGATCAGGAATCACAACCCATTTTAAAATTATTTTGTCGAACTGTGGTGTAGTTTTTCTTTGTTAACCCATGTGGAGTTGATATTTGCGGTTTTTTTCGTTTGAAATTGGTTTGTTTTCTTCATGCTCACTAACTTTGAGCGAACCATTCTCTTAACTAAGAATTACTGCAACAACAACATCGACATCAATTCAACAACAGCAGCAAAACAACAACAACAACAACAACAACAACAACAACAACAACGAGTCTCCCCTGCGCCAGAAGGCAGAGGTGGTAATGATGAGCAAGAGGGTGAGTGATTCGAGTGATCTACAAAGTCGAATATCTTTGCAAAATTCTAACTGGGCTTTAGCAATGGTAGGTCATCCAAATGCGTAATCTATAGTTTCTGTTATTTATGAAACTATTATAATAAACCTCTCATGCGGTCTTCATGGGTTGGTGATCAATCAGAGTGCTGAATACACAGCGAAGCGTGTGAGGCCATCTTATACTCGAACCCTCTAGAATAGGATTGCGGTTTACAGAATTTGAAAGATAAATCTTATATTTTGTTCTTGATAAATTGTTTTCCCGACCAATAGTGATAAATGTCTTGAAGCTACAATTAAGTTCCGCTTCTCCTAGGAAACGTAAGCTTAAGGGCTTCCTTGGGTGGGTCACAGATTGACTGAATGACGCTTTTAATGGCTATCTTTAAAACGGGGAACGGGGAATCGGGGAATCGGGGAATCGGGGAATCGGGGAATCGGGGAATNCGCATTCATTATTAAAATTTTTGGTTTACTGATGAAGGAACATGATTTAAATTATCAACACACTTTACACACTTTTATATACACGCTTTATTTTAAGTTGTTTTAATTAAAAAATTTAGTACAAATGTGAACTGATATTGGGCTAATCTAGGCGGATCAGTAATTCTAGAAAAGACATCCATCACATCTTTCTAGGCCCTCTGGATAGAGATACGTTTCACGGGAAAGAAAAACCTTTTACATGCCATCATACATCGGCAGTCTGATACTGAAGCTTACACTGAAACTTCAATCACGGCCACAGGTTTCTCAGTCCAGGAGTGTAGAGTGTTTCCCTCGTTAAATGAAGTTACTATTATTATTATATCATTATAGTACTACGGGGCCACAATATTGACCAATATTTGTTGCGTTGAACTGTGTATCAGGAGTCCCAGCTTCGATCCCGACCAAGGACACTGTGTCATGTTTTGTTCGGGCGAGTGGTTTTAAATTTTCTCTGCATAGAAGGAAATAACAGGAGAATTCGCTAAAATGCTGCGTGCTAGACTGTGATGGTTTAGGACCACATCAAGAGCTAGTGACAATGTGTAAATAGAGAACCCAATAAGTTTTTTCTAAAGCTAAATACTCTTTGACACTTACATGAGGTCGTTCGTCATTCATTCATGATTCATTCATTCATTACTAAAGTTCAGTAAGTGTCAACTTCTCGAGTGACCTTGTTGCGTACGGGACGTCACCTTAAAACAAATCTAGCAATCAATAGGTGTCAGTGAACGCAACAAGTTTTTAAACCTTGGATCGAGTTTTGGATCCAAAGATGACATTTGACTCCTCTGCGCTGGTTCAGCAGCCTTTGATGTAGTACTGGAACATGTGTTAGCTTGATTGGGTCTTCCTTTCGCAAGAATCCAGTCGGCGCCTCTGTTGGTGATGGCATCAGCTACTCTATTTGACGGTTCGTTCAGTTTGTATTTGTTTACTATCTTGTTCATCCAAATAGAATTCTGAAACTTCTTTCCTTTCATGGTAAAGTGATGAAGCTTTTCCCAGCTCGACGCGTTTCTCGTCAGGTTTTTTCCCAACTGGTTTTCAGTGATGGGCCTCATTTTCTCTAAATAGTGTAAATATGTTATTGACCGTTGCCTGCATTTCTTCCAGCCAGTCAGGATCCTTTCTTCAGTACCATCCTCTTTAAGTTTAGCACGACCTTTAACCTTTTCCAATCGCTCTTCTCTCTCTTGCATTTCTTTAGCAAGGCCTTCGCTC